TGCAAAAGTCATAATTTACAGCCAATACACCGATGAATGTATGTTGAAGTCCATTGAGAAGTACAGAATCACACATTTCATGTGTATGCCTATGTTTGGCCATAAACTGGTGTCGGGCTACCTGTGCGATCGGTATGACTTATCCAGTCTACGAGTAATTATGACAGGTGGTGCTAAGTTCCCCACAAATATAGCCCGGGATATAATCAATAAATATAACGTCAGGTTTTCTGAAGGTATTTATATAAAACAAGAATATTCTGTAAAATTGAAATTATAAATACCTGTCCATTAAGGCTACGGAATGACTGAATACTTGTTCATAACGAGTGGCACACCCTATGAGAACCAGAAACAACACCACTATTTGTCCGGCAATTTAGGACCGGTATCTCCCGGGGCTGAAGTCAAGATTGTCGACTTGGCTACCGATGACAGTCTGGGACCTAACCAAGACGGGGAGATATGTGTGAGGGGGTGCAAACTGTTTGACGGTTACCATAATAACGAAAAGGCAACTTTGGAGGCGTTTGATCGGGAGGGCTGGTATCGCACCGGCGATATCGGTCACTACGACGACAAGGAGTATCTGTATATCACGGATAGGATTAAGGATGTGATGCGCGTGTATTCGGGCGGACATTACATGAATATATCTCCCGTAGAGATCGAGCAGTTCCTGTTAACCCACCCGTCCATAGCCGAGGCGGCAGTGGTTGGGGTCAGTAATAGGACGGGTGCTGGCAATCAGTGGCCCCGGGCTTATGTAGTGCTCAGGGAGGGCGTGACTGCCAGTGAAGATGCGATTAATGATTATGTTTTAGGTATTTGTAGAGATTTTTTATTATCTAATTTATACGGCACTAAAGCTCGTATTTTAAGCAAGCTTGTTTGTGATAATTTTACAAAAAATATAATAGATAACTTTTTGTAAATGAATACAATATGATATGAATTATATTTTCCCTTAAGTTTTATATGATATGAATTGACATTGTTTTTAAGCCAATTTGATATACGTTACAGTTTATCTAAACTCAATATTACATGAATTTTATATGTCTTTTAAGGCACCCTTTCATTCACTAAACAACTGAGGGGTGGAATCGTATTCGTCGACCGCATCGAGCGGACAGTCATCGGGAAAGTCGACCGAAAACACTACAAAAACTTAGTCGTCAACGAAATCATTGATTGAATTCAAGTCATAATACAATACCAAAAATACCAATCATTTAGAAACACAACTCAATGTTTGAGAAAAAAGTTTTTATTTCATCTATTTTACAACAAAAAACATCCGAAAAATTGATTGAATTATGAAATTATTTTATACATAGAAATAAAGCACTAATTAATTAAACAACTAAAAAATATGAGCTTTTATTCATTACATAATATAAAACAAATACAATTAATTCGTATTAATTGTCCACTCATTTAGATCTGGCTGTAGATGGAGTGGGTGGGGGTCTCCACCTTATAGGCAGCTCGGGCGCCATGGGTGGCCGGGATAGCCCAGGTGGGTAAGGGCTGGGCGTGAATGGGGGCGGCCAATGGGGCGGCAATGGGAGCGGCGGGTGCCCACGAGTTGTAGTACTGGTTGTAGTGGTTGTAGGCGGGGGCGATGGGGGCCACTGGGGCGACGGGAATGGGAGCCTTGGGGGCGATGGCGGCCAAGTGGGCGGCGGCGGCGGCCGTCTTCTTGTCGACACTGATGTCACCCTCGGCTCTGAAGCCATTGGCATCGGCCACGTATCGCACCTGTAGTTTGGAAACAATTTTTGTGGTAGTTTAGTGATAATTATAAAAGTTTTTGGTGATGTTTAGTAGAAATAAATGGATGAATGTAAAATACCTGTCTCAAATCTCCATTAGCATCCACGTAGCTGTAGGATCCCTGGACGGCGCCCCCATGGCCTGACTCCTGTCGGGACTGTCCATCAACGGTCTGGTAGCCGAAGGAGTAGGGGCCGGATGGGCCGTATTGGGCGGCGCTCAGGGCCAGGCAGGCGGACAGTAGGATCAGCTGTCAGATAATCAGTTCATTAATGTTAATATTAAAAATTAAATACAAATTATAGACTTTATAATTATACTAATATTATATTAAATTTAGTAATATTTAAGCAAACGTTATTAGAGTATTAAAACTTGTATAGTTACTAAAACTTTTATAAAATTTATTATAGTATATCAAACTTATTTTAAAGTAAGCTAAGTTAATTAAGCTAGTTAACTAAGCTAAGAAAAGTGAAACTAAATTAATGATAATTAAAAGCATAGCCAATACATACGGATCTCATTGTAGTAGTGGTGATGGAAAGTGAGACACTTTTGAACGAAAGCGATACTCAAATCAAAAATAAAAGTTTGTATCGAAAACAAAAGCTTTTATATACCGATGCTATCAATCAATGAGATGGTGTGACGCAAAGCCAAATCAAAATCTTTTCCCACTTTATAGTTTTGGGGCAAATAATTTTCAAATGAATTTTTTTTATTCATGTACAGTCTATAAAAGATTTTCATGATTTTTCAAGTTATCAATACTTAGTTATTACTGTATTATTATTATTATTGCGAATTGAGAGCAAAATATTCAATACTAATCATAAGTATGTATAATATATTTATAAAAAAAGGAAAAGTGACGCCTATTTCATCAATAGCTACCTGTGCTTTGCCATTGAGGACAGGGTGTGGGACACACTTCGCTGTATAGTAAAAGTGTATAAAGTTTTTGGTGAAGATATATACGGCTGGCGTCTGAGGAGAGAGCGAGACTGTGGAGAGAGAGAGAGAGAGAGAGAGAGAGAGAGATGTTAAGGGATCTCATCCTTGGAATAACTTTTTTAATCTCTGTAACTGTTATTAAGTTTCAGTCAAAACCGCTTATAATTAGTTTTTGATACTGACATAACTGTAGTTTTGGCAAATATTTTATTATTAATGATCATTTACCCCACTTTAATGATCATTTTTTTGTATCAACTCTGACCTGGGTATAGGTGATTTTCTATTATATAAATATGTTTAAAATAATGTAAATATGGTGTAAACTAGGTTACTATTAATTTGCAAATACAACTTCCCGCTAATGTCTTAATTCATTTTTAAACATTTTGTTTTTATCATTACTTTGTTATGATCTATGATGTGAGATATTACTGCACTTTATATACATTTTATATACTTTTAATATAAGTTGTTAAACAATTTCCTGACAAATTTATTTTTATTCAATAATTAATTTGTTATATGAATTAGTAGACAATTAAATAATTTTTAATTTATCAATAAAATAAAATTAAATTAATTGAGAATTATAAAAGTGATAAAATAATATTAAAATAAGTTAATGTCGTTTTAAGATAATTTAATGTCTAAATAGTTTCTACATAAAATACTATATTAACTATCTTTTGAATACATTAAAATTTTATTTATTTAAAATGACATGCAATTTATGTATTTTCACTGATAAAGATTACTAAATAACTCTCCAATAAAACTAGACTTAAAATGATTTAACATTAAAAATATTAAAAATAATTTTTCATGACCATTCAAATCATAATAACTCTTTTCAATATCAAAAATAAGTAATAAAATAAAAATATCCATCAAAAAGTAATAAAAAATGTTTCTAATAAATACTTTCATAAAAATTTCTGACAATAATCACTGGAAATAAATTTCTCAAAACATAACGTTAATTATTATATCTCAATAAATATGTACTCATAAGGGGATTCAATCGATACCCAATTTATTTGAAACACTAAAAAGTGATATTTAATTTTTCAAGGGTGTGCTAGCTCAAAATTATAAATAGTTATGATTAAGTATTTATTATAATGACAAAGATATACGGAGATAATTGTAAAATTATTATTATTTTATCACACAATTGTATGTTATCCTAAAATGGGATAAATATTTTTGAGTGATACTTGTCTCATTATTTTTATATATAATTATATAGAATGGTCTAGATTATTTGAATAATATATTCCGTGTTTATGCATATACTGTACCGGTATTTGGTTTTTTGCATTAATATCTACTTTTTAAACATTTATATAACAATATACGAGAATGTGATCAAAAACCAAACAAGGTAACCGTGTTCATCAATTATATTATATTTGTGTATAACAAGTAAATAATTGCATAAAAACCAATGTTTGATCACTTATCGCAACATTTGATTTATATTTGATTATCTGATAAGCAAGTGATAAGAACTGTGAGAATAGATTAATATTAAAAACATATATTTTTCAAAAATACTTTCACTCTATATATCAAAGTCATGGGAGAAATTAAAATGTTTGATAATCTTATAAGAAAATGCTTTAATAAATAAATATTATTCCGTTTGTGTGTTCATTATGTATACCGTTTGTGACCTAAAAGTAACGCAAATTTTAAAAATAATTTATATTTTGTGTTTTAAACGGTTTTATAAGTTTTATCACAAATTGTAAATCAATTTCGGAGACAACTATTTATTACTTAACATAACATTTATGGGTGTAATCCCTGTTTTCTATACAACCCTTAAGTAACACATGCACTTTGTTAATACAGTATTTTCAGTATATTATCAATTGACATAATTCAAGGCAAATTCACAAAATGTATTTTATAGCAAAGAATTTTAAGCCTTTTTTCTTTATTTGAAGATTAGCTACAATTTGAAGGATTAATACTTAATTTGAAATATAATTATTAATTGTCTTTCAATTATACAAACATTAAATAGCATTGAATTGCTTTTAGTAATAGACTTATTATGCAATCATTCAAATAAATTAATTTATGCATTAAAAGCATTTAATTTCTAAATTAAAAATTAATTATCTAAAATTTAAATATAATATTCCAAACATTATTTAATAAATTAATCATATTGTGTAATTATATCTTAATAGTTATAAAATTTAAAAATTAATAATAAAATTTTGACAAATAAATAAGATATTTTACAAAACTAAAAATATAAATAAAATAAATGAATACAAAATTAACACAATTTTTTATAGATTTAAAAATTATATTTTTATATCACACTTATATTTATTAACCTAATATCAATATTAAGCTGTAATGTCATGGTTAAATTTAATACATATTATATTTTACACTTTATTATAATATTACAAATTTATTGTTATATAATTTATATATTTAAATAAGAAAAGGGTTGATAATGAATAGCAAATATGTATTATATATTGTATTTTATTAGCAAAAAATGACAGCAAATCAGTCACTACTGTATAACACAACAACACCTTTAGGTGAGAACAATACCATTCATACGATTATAGTATTGCATAATAAATGTTATTTCAATTCTCCCGCATATTGTGAGTCACAACTGATTTCAATTTTAATCCCTTATCTATTGTTTAAGATTATGTGTTGAACGCCGTAACATTGATCTTGATAATATTGTTTTCATTTTTTCATATGAATAATAATACGAATAAATTATTATAGAAAGTTGTTTTGAAATTCAATAACACTGTTAAGACTAACAATCGGCTACTTTATGAATAGAAAACTTTTGTTAAATTGTATTTAGTATGCCATATGATAGCTATTATAGTGGTATTATATAATTGTATGATTTTTGTTAGAGATAAAATTTATCAGATAAAAGAAATCAATTTTGTATACCTTTGTAGAGAATTTCTACAATTTGTTTCATATTTAAAATCAGTTAATCTTTTATATCATTTACAAATGAGTGAGTAATACATTGGTAGAGATTATGAGTTGTTTAACAAAATCCAATTAATGTAATTTAACTCAATACAATTTTTTATTAGATTTTAATAAAATACTAAATACTAAAATAAATAAACTCATAATCCTTGCTAATCCTTTACTATCTCATTTTTAATAAGAAATAATTGATTAAAATTTTTATTCATACAATATTTACTAAATTGATTTTTTGTCAGATTTTTTTTATATCAATGTTTTATCTAAAGTAAATTTTTTTAAATACTATAGAATTTATTTTTAATTACCCTGGATCAGTCTCCATTTGTCACAAATCCCATCTAATGCAAATGGTATTTTGTAATCTTATTCAAAAATATGTTTATGAAAAATATTAAGGTATATGAGGTATAGTGAATGCAAATGTCATTATAAATATTGATATGTTTTTTGTGTTGTTTGTATGCAATTCACAATAATAACAATAATTATAATTTCTGTGTAACCGTCAGAAATAATTTCTAAGCACTCAATCACATGTGAATAGAGAGATAGGCACTCGTAGTATAAATTATAACCCAATTTTGAGCCCAAAATGTATAGTATTGGCTCATAATAGTGATTGACAGCAGATTAGAAAGCACATACGATTTTGTATAAAGTAAAAGTGATTTTTATTATACAATACTTGGCGTCCAATATATCAAAATACAAATATATTTTAAAATATTTTTTTAAAACTTTAATATATAAGTCTGTCATCAAATAGATGAATATTTAGGCAAAAAATTAGCATTTTCTTATAAATTCTTAAGGTTTTAGTTATGATAGTTAGCAAACTATTTAGATTAGAAGGTCCCGGCGCTGAGGGACGCCAACATCGACTAATAATATCTAAATAAATAATATTAAAAATATTAATCTCCAAAATCTGTATCGATTCATTAAAATTCAATATTTTTTGAAAAATGTGCTTTTATGTAAAGATTACTGTTAATATTAGGGACATTTTTGCTAAACTATCTCTGGATTTAAGCCCACATATCCAGTGATGTCGTAAGTCCAAAATATGTCAAAAAATGTTTAAATGACCTTTCTCTAATTATCTAATTAGTTGATTTATTGACACACTGCTACACTTTTTTTGGCATTAACTAGCTAATTAAAACATCAAATATAAATAGTTCATATATAACTAATAAATAGTATTATAAAAAGTTATTGTAATTGGAATATTGCCATGCTAAATAATACTAATAATGGATTCACATAATTCTAACCAAAACAATAATATACAATAAAATGTATGAATATACAGTATATGATAATTAAGTGGATACGATGCCTGGCGTTCCCACACCGGGACAGGTATTGAATGGTGTGATGGCAGGCATTATATCCACAGAAGGCCTCCACGAATAGCCTCAACACATGTTTTAATTCCGCAATACTATTCACTCATTATATCGACGACTGTCTGACTCTCCCTCTCCTTCTTCATCGATAAGAACAAGTATTTTAACGAAACATTTCAGACGATTATATGACTTAAACGCCTAATTAATAC